CATCGTCCAGTCCGTTCGCTCTTTCCACCTACAGATGCTAACAGCTGCTGCGCCCCTTTTCTGCTGTGACTCATTCGTTCGTTCACCGAGCATTGTGAGGGGCCCTGCCGTGTGCCACGCATTGTTCTCGGGTCCTGGGATGTATCAGTGAACAGCGTGGTCAGCGACCCATGGCCTGAGATGTTCACTGTGGTGTCAGATAGGGACAAGGATGGAGAGAGGGGGCTTTCGGGGAAGTGACCATCGAGTGCAGACTGGAGGCTTATAAGCCAGGGGGCTCCATTGCGCTCACTTGGCAAAAGCCAGCCCTGTCAGACCCAACCCTCCACCCACCACAAACCCACATCTGCACAACTGAACCGTGGCTACAGAAAACCGTGCACCGTGTTGGCTGGCCTCACCGAAAGTGGTGCCCAGAATTCACAGGGTGGAGGGTGGGAGCAAGGGGGGCCTTCAGCTTCCGTCACGCAGTGCTCACCGGGCCGTTCGCTCTCTTACTCCTGAGGTGGCCAGTTGCCATCAGCAACTCGCCTGCTTCACTCTCAGCTCGTTCTCCTTCCTATTTCCCCGAGTCACTGAAGAGCTACCTACCGCACCAGGATTCCTACGCTTATGCACTTACCTACTTCATTCTTGCCCAAATCCTTCCTCCCTGTTACCCTGCAGGAAACACGCAGTGGTGCCCAGCCCCAGCCTGCTACTCACGCACATCACTCCAAAGAGGCTCCCTCTCTCCCACATCAGCTGCCCTCCTCCTCCCAACCCCCACCTCCTGGAATCGTGCCATCAGCATAGAAATATGGGGTACCTTTCCCATAGTTAAAAAAAAATCGAGTTCTGACCAGCGTGACTTAGTTGGTTGGGCATCCGTCCTGCAAAGTGAAAGGTTGCTGGTTCGATTTCTGGTCAGGGCACATGCCTGGGTTGCAGGTTCGGTTCTTGGTCAGGGTGTGTGCAAGAGGCAGCCAATCGATGTTTCTCTTCTTGCGCTCTCTCCCTCCTTTCCCTTCCTTCTAAAAATAAATTAATAAAATCTTTTGAAAAATTACCCCCCCCCCCATGGCACGTTCCCCTCTGTTCCTCTTCACTGACACATTCCTAGGGAAGTGGCTGCCTCCAACGTCTCCCTCCGGGTGCTCTTCAAGCCTCCGCTCCCTGTCACTTCCTCAGGGAGGCCTCCCTTGACCATTGTATTCAGAGCTGCGCCCCTCCTCCCCAGCTTCCTTTTTCTCCCTGGCTCTCATCTGACTCTAATACGCGCTGTGAGGCAGGTATCTAATTTGTTTACATTCCAGGATGAAGTCCAAATAGGACAAAAAAAAAAGAGGCTGTCCATTTTGTTCATGGTCACACCCTCAGCTCCTGGAAAAGGGTCCAGGGCTCTCGAGGTGCCCAGTAGCGCTTGCTCAGTGGGGGGAGCGAACGCACGTGAGGGCGGGCGCGGGCCAGCCGCCGCCGATTGGATGGCGAGGGAGTCGGGTGGCTGGGCGTGGAGGGAAAGCTGCAGGCAGAGGTAGCCAGAGGCCCCATCACAGAGGGTCAAGGGGAGGCTCTTATGCTAAATGCGACTCATGAAGCAGGAGGGTGGCGGGTTTGGAGCTGGGGAGGGACATGATTTGACTGATGTGACTGAGATTCTGGGCACAAGTTGAAAATTGCACATTTCATGAGTATGTTCCCAGGAAGGCAGTTTTTACATTTATGTCCTTACTTTTATTTTTATTTTTATTTACATTTGCAGGGTGTCCCAATTTTTTAAAAAGATTTATTTTTATTTTTTAAAGTTTTTATTTATTTTCAGAGAGGAGAGGGGAGGGAGAAAGAGAGGGAGAGAAACATTAATGTGTGGTTGCCTCTCCCACACCCACTACTGGGGACCTGGCCTGTAACCCAAGCCATGTGCTCTGACTGAGAATCGAACCTGTGATCCTTTAGTTCGCATGCGGGTGCTCAATCCACTGAGCCATACCAGCCAGGGCTATTTATTTATTTTTAGAGAGAGGGGAAAGGAGGGAGAAAGAGAGGGAGCGAAACATTGATGTGAGAACCATTGACCAGTTTTCTCCTGTATGTGCCCTGACCAGGAACTGAACCCTCAACCCAAGCATGAGCCCTGATGGGGAACTGAACTGGTGACCTTTTACTTTGAGGGACAATGCCTAACCAACGCTGGCCAGGGCAGGGCTGCCATTCTAAATGTCAGGCACAGAATCTGAAAGCATCTCCGTCCTTAAGAACTGAATACAGCAGTAAAACATCCAGTGGCTGCCTGTCCTTTTCCAGGCACAAAGGTTTATTATGCGCCTTGATGTTCACGGGATGCTGCCTTTATAAACTAAAGGTACAAGGTGCTCCATGGACGAAGGGAGGATGAGCCAGCTTGGGCAGGAAATACGTGGATGGTGGGTTCAGGTGTGTGTGTGTGTGTGTGTGTATTGGTGCAGATGGTGTGGCTGCTTCTAGACCTGAGTGGGAGGGGGGCATAGAGGCCAGAGCTTCTGAGCGCTCCAGGCAAGCCAAGATGGGGGTGGGGGGCGGGAGGGGACCAAAAAGCGTGGGCCTCAGCAGCTGCCCAGCTGGGGTGAGAAGAGAAGAGTGACTGGCCGGAGGCCTTGGCGGGAGCCTGAGGCGCCGGCACTGGGTTCGGAGCTGTGAGCGCTGAACACCCGGGAGGCTGGCCCTGGGCTTTCAGACTTCGTTCGGGGCATGGCCTCGTGTTCCCAGTGCTTTGTCAGCTATGTCCCCAAAACTCGAGGGTCAGGCAAAGGGGCCCACAGCCTGCCACTGTGATAGATGTCCTCACGCCTGTGTGCGCCATGGGTCACCGTCACAGTGCTCTGAGGAAGCACGGGACTTGAGACTAGACTTGCGTTTCCCAAGTGTGGCTCCTGAGCCAGCCGGCCCAGCGTCGCCTGAAAACCGGTGACAGATGCAAGGTCTTAAGCCCTACCTTGACCGAGCTGCTGAATCAGAAACTGTGGGGGTAGGCCTGGCAAGCAGCGGCTTCAGGTGCCCCCGAGGAATTCTAACGCGTGTGGGAACCACTGACCCAGACCCGTTCCAGTGACACTGATGCTGCTGCTTCCACGGCTCTAGAAATTTCATAAGAAAATTATTCAGTTTATGAGTAACCCTGTTACTAATTAGCAAGTATTACTGAATACCTAAGGGTATAATAATGTTTAATAATAATTACTTCTGAACAAGGGGATTGTGGGCAACTTTTAAAAAGTTTATGTACTCGATCGCTCAGTATTATCATAAACATGTTTTCCTTTCGTAGATAAAAATTAAAAGATTTTAAAAGTAAAAGTACCTTATTCTAGTATATTTCTTAATAGCAGTGCTTCTCAAACTTTACGGTGCAAATAAACCACTCAGCCTCTGGGAGGGGGTGGCTTCCCCAGAAATGGGAAGGATGAGCCACTGAGAAGTTCAAAGTCAGGTTCTTGGCATACACTAGGAAGCTAAAACACAGGGCAGCCAGCCCCCCGACACCCACCCGCCGGTTCCAGGGATCCAGTGCAGGAAGGCCATGATAGGAGACCAATTTTAATCTAAGTCAAGGGTCAGCCTGGAGGCTGGGGATGAAAAACGAGTTCTACAGGAAGTAACCTCACAGGGTGATCTGATCATAAATGCAACCAGGCAGGTCACACACCAGGCAAACAACTTTTGTAAATGCCTTATCTTTGCCTTATGCGAGCCCTGTCCATTGCTTTTGTGCATCTAGGTTAACACACCTTTGAGAAGTCTGTTTTCAGACCCCCTCCTTGTAGTGTGTGACTACCCAGTTTCAGAGGAGACCTCTCCCAAAGCGGTATCATCCTCAAGAGAGCACAGAGTCGTAACTCTCCTGGAATCCCATCCCCGTCTTGCTCTCTCTCACCTCCACATAATCTTCCTGAGTTTCCCTCCTTAATTCCAAACGCATAAAAAAAGTTGCAAACCGTCCCTTCCTTGGAAACATTTATCTTAAGTCTGTTAAAGTCCCTACTTCCGGGCATACCCTGTGTTTGGTGCAAATCAGTTTTCATAAAAATTCTCTACAGGTTTGGACGTCCTTAGCTGACACGGGTTTAAGCAGGAAAGTCACGGGTCTGTTACTTTTACTATCACTCTGGCTGCTGTGTGGGAAATGCCTCACCCTACCTCGGAGTTGGTGCAGGGAGCCCAGGGCTGCGCGTTGGCGCTCGGGAGTGGGCCAGCGGCCCCCAAAGCCCCGTGGATCTATTTAGGGGTCAGGAATGTCCATATGAATAACGAGCCACCAGGGGACGCGGTTTTATTGCTGCTCTGAGGACCTCAAACGCTCCTGCTGCAGGAACAGGACTTTTTCTTCCTTTCAGAGGACTTGAGCTCCCGTCCACGCTTTGCTTGTTACCACGGCATCTTGGACACGTCCTCCTCTGTGCCTTAGTCTCCCCACCTGTCAGAGAGGACGTCGGCCCGGCCTCCGCGAGGACGTGACACCCCGGGCCTCCACTCGTGCACTTCGGTCAAGTTGAGCGGCGGGCACAGCCCGGACAGAGGCCGAGTCCAGCGGCACACGTGGGGTTGGCTTCCCACCCTGGAAACAGAGGCCTGGAGGGGAGAGAGACTTGCACCCTCGAGGCTCCCGCAAACTGTAAGCGGCACGTCTCGGGCCCACTGCCCAGGCCTCCAGTTAGTGGTCTGTGCGCCGAGGCCCAGGCCCAGCTTTGCCACGGTTGCCAGGGACGGGGCGGAGCCGGCGGTCCGAAGCCGGTCCGGGACGCGCAGGAGGCGGCGGTGGCAGCGGGGAAACTCCGCGCAACCCCGGCGCTTGAGCGCGGACCCGCGTGCGGGACGCACCTCCGGGCTCCCCAGCGCGGGCGGAATGGGCGGCTGGGCCACGTTGCCTGGGCCACGTTGCTCTGCGCAGACCTGCCCCGGGCGCCCGCCCTCCCGAGCGCCGGCCCCGCCCCTCGGCCGCGCCCCCGCCCCCTTGCCACCTCCCCCGCCTCCGCCTCCTCAGTCCCGGGACGTGCCGGGCTGGCGACCGAGCGGCGGGTACGGCGTCCGGCGCACTCACTTCCGCGTCCCGCCGCCCTTCGGCCCGCGCGCGCCCAGCTACCGCCGCTCTCGGACAATAGGCCGCCCGCTCCGGCCGCCGTGAACTTCCTGCTTCGGCTAGACCGGCCCGTGCGCCGGGGACCGCGCTGCCTTTCGGCGCGGGCCAGGATCACAGCTGCGCGGCTGCGGGGGTGAGCAGCGGGGACGAAGCGCGCCTGGGACGTGCCTGCGCCTCCGGCCCCCGTCCAGCCGGGCGGTGCGGAGGCTTCTACACTCTCCGGCCCAGGAGACTTCACGCCGCCCCGTCCTGCGGCTGCTGCTTTCTGGGTTTCCGAGTTTGGTCGCTTAAGGAGGATGTGATTTTTTTTTCTTTCTCCTTTTATGACTTGAAAAAGAGAAAAGAACGCACTGTAAGCTGGGACAGGGAAGCGCCACCATCTCCCCCCACGTGGACACTAACGAGGGGAAAAGGAGTTGGAAGAGAACTTGGTCCATCTGGCCTTGAGGCCTCCACTTGGGCTGGGCTCTAAAGCCTGGGGTCATGACTCTCTCTCCAGGCAGGTGGAAGGTTTTACCTGTTCTGGGCTGGACTTGAGCCCCTGTTCGTGGCCAGCATCGTCCCACCACCCCCTCCAAACACAGACGCACCACCCTTGGCACCTGGCATAGGCGTCCACCCGAGTCTGCAACATGGATAAGTACGACGACCTGGGCCTGGAGGCCAGTAAATTCATCGAGGACCTGAACATGTATGAGGCCTCCAAGGATGGACTCTTCCGAGTGGACAAAGGTGCAGGCAACAACCCAGAGTTTGAGGAAACCCGCCGGGTGTTTGCCACCAAGATGGCCAAAATCCACCTTCAGCAGCAGCAACAGCTCCTGCAAGAGGAGACCCTGCCCAGGGCTGGCCGAGGTCCTGTCAACGGCGGGGGCCGCCTGGCCCCACAAGCCCACCGGGACACTGGGGCGGGCAGCAAGCTGACCACAGACGGTGCTGCCAAGCCCCCTCTGGCTGCCTCGACAGTCGCTCCTGGGACAGCCACCACCATTGCTGCTGGGCAGCCCTTGTACCCGCCCCAGGAGCAGAGGGCCAGGCCGTATGTCCGTGGCACAAGGCCTGGTAGCCAGGACTGTGGTTCCAAGGAGAGCCCGGCAACTTCCGAGATGTCTGCCTTCCACGGGCTGAGCCCCTGCGAGGACCCTTCCTGCCTCAGCCATGGGGACTATTACGACAGCCTCTCCTTGGGAAGCCCGAAGTGGGGTGAGGAGCCCGGGGCGCCTTCCGGCGGCAGGCTGGCTATAGGGAGCGGGTGGCTGGGCTCCTCAGGAAGTGACCCCTCACCGTCCAGACCCTCCAGGGACCCTCACCTACACCAGCCGCAGCTCTCCCCGAGTTCCAGCAGGTCATTTGAGGGCGCCCAGGACGGGGGTGTCGATGGCCGCAGCAGTGAGAAGCCAGCAGGTCTCTGGACCACCGCCTCCTCCCAGTGGGTGCGGCCTGGCCTTCCCTCCCCAGGCCCAGAGAACGGGGCCCTGCTGGGGCCGGCTCAGCCCAGGACCCCCATCTCAGCACCGCTGGCCCTGAGCTGCCCCAGTCAAGGAGCCCTTCCAAGAACAAACTCGGGCGCGGGGAGTGAGGTTCCAGGCGTGACGCCCAAACTGAATGTGCACTCTCAACCCTGGTTCCAGGATGGACCCAAATCTTACCTTTCTAGTTCTGGGCCATCGTCTTTGCCAGCCAGCATGGACGGTTTGCAGCTGGGTGCAGCCGCTGGGCTGGGTCCCAAGCCCGGCTGCACAGACCTTGGCGTTGGTCCCAAACTCAGCCCCACCAGCCGTGCGCATCCAGTGATGTCCGCCCCGCTGGAGGCATCTTGTAAAGAAGGTCCCGCTGGCTGGTCTGAGGGCAGCCTGGGGTCTGTGCTCCCAGAGAGCCCCAGCCCCCACCGAGTGAAGCTGCCCTGCCAGACCCTCAGCCCCGGCGCTGAGCCTGGGCCCTCGGCCGCTGAATTGAAGTTGGAAGCCCTCACTCAGCGTCTGGAGCGGGAGATGGATGCCCATCCGAAGGCCGACTACTTCGGTGAGTGAGAGGCTGGCGGAGTTGCCCACTGTGTGATGGGGTAGCCGCCAGGGATGCTGTGACTCTCTTTGGCCTGTCCCCCCCCCGCCCCTTTTTTTTTTCTGGCTTCCTCTTTCAGGTGCTGCTTCTGATTGAGAAACTTGAAAGCATCCCTGGGCAGAAAGCGGATCTTGCAGCTGGGGGTTACCCATGTGTAAAGGGCGAAGCAGGGTGGGATTGTTTGGGACCACGTTCAAAAAAGGGAAATGCTATGACCCGTGTTCGAGGGTCTCAGGTGTGCCTTAGGGCCTCTCACAGCGACCGCCTCATTCAGGGACGTGCATGGGAGCCACCCTCTCCGCCCTGGTCCCCTGAGCCGTGCATCAGTAGCCGGCTGGGCCAGGCAGGTCTGGCTACCAGGACCAGTGGTTAGGCAGGGGCGCTGTAGGGCCCTGTGTGTGTGTGTCTGCAGGTACTGTGGGTAGTTGAAATGAGTCACACTAACATGAGGGAATTTGTTCTAGAGCAGCGGTTCAGTCTCTGGACCAGCCCCCTCCTTCCCCCAGGAACTGGTTAGAAATTGCAGCCTACAGGGCCCCGCCCCAGACACACTGCCTCCGAAGTTGGGGTGAGACCTGGCATTTCCACAAGCTTGACATACAGAGAAATTTGAGCCCCTGTAGACCAGGTGCCTCCTGACTCAGCCCCCACCAGCTGCCAGGTTGCTGAAAATAGTATGGAAGATGCTCCTTTCTGGTTTGGCTCAAACTTGCAGACTTGGTTTTATTCTCTTTTTGTTTGAAAACCACAAACTTTTGGAGACTGCTGGCTTTGGCGTTTTCCCTCTGCGCGGGGTTTGAGGCGGCAGGAGAACAGCTATGTTCTTCTGGGGAGTAATGATGTGGCTGCCTCGGAGGGGACCCCGCTGGAAGGCAGCCTATTCTTAGGTGGGTTGGAGGGTTGTTTTTGTTTTTGGTTTGGTTTTTTTTTTTCATTTTGAACTCTGGATTCTTGAAGTCACGCTTTCTACCCTGTGAGGCCTGAGAGCCCTGGGAAGCTGAGTCCCACTGGGATGACCGCTCTGCGGAGTGGAGGGGGCAGGACGGAGGCAGGGGCGGCCCTGGGGGAGAGGCTGGCTTGCTGCTTTCAGTCTACCCTTTTCTCCGAGAATGGGCCACTGTGTCCTGGGTGCTTGCCGGGTCTGAGGCTCTCGTGGTGGCCCTGTGTCCTTGCTCCTTGCGAGAGTCTCGCGCCGCATCGGGCGGTCAGAGGTCGCGGGGACGTTTGTTGGTGTATGTTTTTGAGCACTTAGCATCATTTTACTAAGAATCCTCTCTTCTTCTCCACAAATCCCCCCCTTTGGGAATAGGGCTTAGCTGGAAATTCTGTGAGTTTTTTCATGTAAATTTTTGTTTAATTTTTTTAAAATAAGAGAACGCTTATTTAGAAAGTCACAGAGGTAGAAGAAGTGAGACGTACACAAAATGGGCTGAGGAAGCAAGTTACAGAGGCAAAGGAAGGGGCCCGTGGAGCTTAGGGAGTCGGGCAGAGGCAGCGCACCTGGGGGCAGGAGGAGGGGGCAGGCGGGGCGTGGGCATGCTGCCCAGAGGGAGAGCGCCCATTTCTTTAATGCATTTCAAGCTCATTAAACTGCAAAACAACAGTTTTATTTTTCCGGGGAGGCACGTTTGCCCTGTGGATCAGAGCGGAGATATTAGCTAGCACCATCCATTCGTTTCATTCAGCGTGTTTATTGAGCATCTCCCTGGGCCACGCCCTGCTCCAGGCCCTGCAGAGTGAACAGGACCGGCAGATGCTCTGCCTCCCCAAGCAGGCACCGCGGTCGGTCAAAGGAGACAGGAGGTGAACAAGATAAATTAGCTGGTTTTCAGGGAGAGAAGGAGGTAGAGGAGGGGATGGAGCCGCAGGCAGGGAGGGGGTCCAGTTTTAAATCAGGTGGTCAGGGGAGGTCCCATCCAGAAGGTGGCATTTGGGAGGAGGCTTGAGGGAGGTGAGGCGGTGGACACAAGTCTGCGCAGGGAAAGGCCAGGCAGACAGCAAGAGCAGGGGCCCGGGGCGGGGGCTGGGCCGGGCCAGGCACTGGGCTAGGCCCTTCACGCAGAACATTTCATTTACTCGTCACAGCAACCCCAGGATGCAGGCTCTGGCATTAAACCCACTGCACCGAGGAAGCTGAAGCTCGGGGAGGTTGCGTTACGTATCTGGGGTCTCAGGTCTCGCAGGTGGCGCTGGGTGTGGCTGGGATTGGGCCCCATGGTCCAGCCTGGCCTTGCTTCTCACCAGCATTGCCAAGCTTCCCCACCCCCCCAAGCTCAGATGTGAAAACCTCATTCATATGTTTACTTTTATGGCTTTTCAAAAATTGTGGTGAACTTCATAGAACAAAATTAACCATTTTAAAGCAGACAGTTCAGAGGCATTGAGTACATTTAGAACATTCATAGTGCTGTGCAAACGCCACTTCTGTCTAGTTCCAAAACATTTCATCACCCCACAAGGAAGCCCTGCATCCAAGCTGTTGCTTCCCATTTGCCCCTCGCTCCCAGCCCCGGGAAACGGCCAGTTTGTGTCCTGTCTCGATTCACCTACTCTGGATCTTTCATATAAAGGGAATCATATTTATTTATTTTTAGAGACAGAGGAAGGGAGGGAGAAAGAGAGGGAAACATCAATATATGTTTGCCTCTGCAGCACCCCCTGCTGGGGATCTGGCCTGCAACCCAGGCATGTGCCCTGACTGGGAATCGAACCAGCGACCCTTTGGTTCACAGGCTGGAGCTCAAGCCACTGAGCCACACCAGCCACGGCGGAATCGTATTTATTTTTTGATTGTGTTATTCACATGCAGAAAATTCAAAAGACATAAACACATGTACTATAAATAACTAGTCTCCTTCCTACCCCCATTTCTAGTCGGGTGTCCTGAGTATGATGAATACATAGCTGCCAGTGGCAGCAGTGGCATGCTGTCACCTGCTCTTTGCCTTTGCCCCAAACAGTGTGTCTTGGCAGTTGTCCTATATCGGCATGTGTTGAGCTGGCTCAGCGTCACCCCCGGGTGGATGTGCCCCGGGTCACGTAAGCAGCGCTCGAGGAGGACTTGTCAAAGGGGCCACCTGCGAGGTGCATGCGGAGCTGTGGGGGAAGCTCCCAGGGTGCGATTGTGGGGCTGGGGGCTGTGTGCCCTTCACATGCTGCCTGGTGGCTTTTTTTGGAGCTTGTGCCGGGAACCCCACAGCCCACCGTGGAGGAGAGGGCCTGCCCCGCGCCTGGTACGGCAGCGAGCCTCCGTCCGTGCTGATGTGACCGGCTGTGTGGCAGAGGGGGACGCTGGTCCTCTGAGCCCCCGGCAGCCAGTGCTCGGCCCGGCTCCTGCCGCGGGACCTTGAGCGAAACATGCTCTCTTCCAGGCCACCCCGCATCCGTAGTACAGGGAGGCCAGACCAGCTGCGGGGCTCCCTGCTCGCAGGCCTCCCCTTCCCTGGACCTGGTGTCACTGGATAGAGTTTGTCTAACACACCGCGCTTGTTACATCATGATGAAATGGTGCTTCCAAACAGAAGACTATCTACAGATATGGGGCTCTTGCCAGAGAGAATCAGGGCAAGGTAATGGGCATCCTCAGTCAACGTAACTCTAGCCAGAAGCAAGGTAGGAGTCTGGGTGGGTTCCGCAGGCCCCGTCCTGGGGCAGACGAGGTGTCCCGGTGGGCACTGTGGGAGGAGCTCGTGAATCCCGGCCGCCACCTTTGAGAACACTGAGGTCTGAAGACACCTCAGTTTCCAGTTACTGACCATCCGGTCACCGAGGACCCTTCTGGTACTTTCCGTGGCTGCCCTTGTAGGTTCAGTACGATGAGGTCCCAGGGGGGCATTTCTCCCTCATCCGTTCTCCAGTCCTCCTCTTTGTGTCTTTCTGTCCACGAGGAAAGAGTTAAGGACAAGCTTTGCTGCTAGGAGAACATCGTTGGCTTTCCCGCCTCCCCAGGCCTTGCCCTTGGAGGAGGCCACCCGAGGACCCTGTGGGCTTCCGTTTAAACACCACTGTTTACACCGGGAGGAAGCGAGGAGGGCACTGTGCCTTTTGTTTAACCTTTCCTGCCTTTTCCTCCGCGGTGTTCGTTTGTCTTCCTCACACTGGGCCTCTCCTCCTGCTCCAAGGAAAAAGGGCACAAATAAACCACCTGCTACGGGCTGGGTTTCCTGGGAAGCGGACTCTGAGGCAGAGTTTATGTGCAGGGGGTGCTCCTGGGACCCCGACCTGCGGTGGGGAGGGGAGCCAGGTGGGCAGAGGAGAGCTCCAGCTGCCACATGGGCCTGCAGCCTGGGCCGACCCCGGGGACCCCCGAAGACCAGGCACGGCAGTAAACCTGCACCTAGTGCTGAAGTAGGAGGCGGCAGAAGGTCAGCATCAGCTCTCGGGCTCCATCCGAGCAGCCGGCATGACCAGATGCCATCGCCCGGGAGTTCCCCTGAGTTCCTTCTGGGGACATTGCACCGTGACTCGGATCTGGGCATCCGTTACCATGTGGGTAAATTTCTGATCCTGTGGTAACGTTTCTAAGTGGCACCTATGACCTCGGTCCTGCCTGGCTAGCCCTGCAGGTGCCACCTGAGATATGGGGACACCCAGCCCTTTTCAAATTGCATAAGCCATGTGGATTTTTAAAAAAATAAACCAGATAATAGTCTCCTTAAAATCAGAAGGGCATATGTTTTCTTAACTTTTTATTGATGTGTAACAGACATACATTGTAGATGTTCACTGAGAGGTCACACCCACGTAGCCTGCACCCAGGTCAAGACACAAAGCGTGACCAGGACCCAAGAGGCCCCCCCTACCTGCGCCCCTTACATTTCTCTACCAGCCTTGAAAGATAACCATAGAAAGAAAGAAAAAAGTTATCAGAAAGGTAACTTCTGACCACGACCTTGAGTTTTTAAGCAATCGTGTGATTTGAAATAACTTCTAAAACCTTAAGCAGATTTTAAAACGTTTCG